ATACTACCCGATATATAGATATTATCAATCAGAAACTAAAAATTTTTTTCATATCAGCCTAAGAGTTCTTGTTTGTACAATTATTATCATATGAAAAAGGGGGTATTTGTTTCTATATTCATACAATAAATACGACATTTTAAAGATAAGAATGGATGGGTGGCGGTCATAATACAGGTATACAACGCATGTGATGAATGTCTTTGACAGTGACATAACAAAGGTCATGAAATAGGGGGGGGGGGTTAAAAAATTCAACTTATAATTACCATAGAAAACTTTACAATAAAAATTAAAAAAAAAAAAAAGGAAAAAAACTATTGTCCAAACTCGAAAATCCTATTTTGGAGAGAGATAGAAAGGGCGGGGTCTACATGTATGTTTCAACTTCTTTTATAAACCCTTTTCATTCAAACATTACCCTCATTATAATAACCTTGTTTGTCTTCATTTACTTTGTACTAGTATTTGATATGAAATGAGCAGATCGAATGATAATAAAAGGGTCCCCCCCTCACACTTCATCGCCCAAGCAGCGTTGTATCATATTTCTCCAAACAATACTGAAAATATTCATTATAATAATATCCATGTCGCTTATACATGCATGTGTCCAAAATCATTAGCATCAAAACAAACTTAGGATGATCTTAGGACAGGTATTATGTTGTCCTAAAGTTAGGAAAAACTTAGGAAAGTTCCCAAATTTAGGAAAGCTTCGAGAAACTTACTTAAGACTAGGACATTTCCTAAGACGTTCTTAGGACACACCGTAGTCCTAAGATAGCTTCATGAACATGCCTGTTGGATTGTCCCCTTTGACCCCAGTATACAACTCTGTATCTACATTTGACCCATAGATCTCTGTAATAGAAAACGCTTCCGTGTATCTACGTATCTTGTAGCAATACATGGCTATGTAATTCATGTCAGTAATACAATCATTATTGGCTGCTAATTTCAGCATGAAACAGGAGATTTTGTAAGACTTATATCTCAATTTGTTTTTATGCGCATAAGTCTTCATGTGCAATAAAAATAAAAGGGCTGTTTTCTGAAGGTCAGAAGCCATTAGTTTCTGAAGCATTAGGACTCGGTCCAATCTAATTAAAATTAGATGTTAGATCCGCTTGCATACTCGCTACACTAACATCTAACAACATCCTATTGAGGGTCACTTCAGATGTCAAATTCTATCAACCGCTGGCAAAATCATCGTATAAATAAATGTTGAAGCGAATAACTCTTGAGGCGTTCCGAATTTGACCTCTGACATGACCCTCAATGGGATGTTGTTAGATGTTAGTGTAGCGAGTATGCGAGCGGATCAAAAATCTAATTATAAGATTGACTCGGTCATTTGGAGTGACCATTCGATTGTATACACCTTTGCAAGTTCAATTTGTGTATTGTTCCAGACCGATGTATCTCTGAAAAAAGTATACATCAAACTCAGCCTCAAACGCAAAATGTAATAACACAAAATGTAATAAAAAGATTTTTTGATTATTAAATTTTGCGTCGAGTTTAAGCAAAAGGTAAGAACGCAAAATGTTATGACAAACTTTTGCGGCCATGTTGAGTATAATTTTTTACTGAGTACTGGGCGAAGAAAAGATATGAAAAGAAAATAAAACAAAATGAAAAAAATAAATAAATAAATAAACGTGCTAATTGAATACATCAGATTTTATAATACATTATTTTCATCAGCTACATGTTTTTGAAATCAGTTTAATATTCAAATCATAGGTGTATATAATATAATACATTGCTTTCTTTAGCTACATGTATTTGAAATCAGTTTAATATTCAAGTCATAGGTGTATATAATATTAGACATTGATTTCATTAGCTACATTTATTTGAAATCGGTTTAATATTCAAATCATAGGTGTTCTTGCAAATAAGAAGCGTGGGAGGGCGGGGGTAAATTTGTTGACCAACTCATCTTCAGAAAATTAATTGGTTGCTCTCCCGACTCGCTCTGGTAATATTAGGTGCGTAGGTGGGCAGGAATTTTTGAATTCTTTTTTTTCCAGGTTTACTTTTAAAAAATAATTTCTTCGGGTGTAAAAATGTTTAGTCGGGCCAATTTAGCTAGTCGGTCTGGAGAGGACAACCAAACATTTTTTTAAATGGTTCATGTGGGGTGGGGCACTACTGATTATATAGTTTAAATGCATATCTTTGGTTCAACTGATCTGCCTTTGGGTACTATGTAATCAGTGTTAGTATGCTTAATATATAGTTATGATTAAATAAAGGTGCCTATTTCCAAATAGTAAATATCATGGCCTATGGTTTAATTAAATCACGAATCTTATTCATTTGTTGAAAAGTTGTTGAATTTTCATGTGACCTATAATGCCCATTGGCGTTATATTATTTGATATATTGTATTCTGAGATCGTGATATTCAGAAAAGTTCGATATAAAATGGAATTCATCTTCAACATCTTCGAGTCATATAATAAACATATTCTTAATCTTATTTCTATTCACATTTAAAAATCTGTCTTCTTCTACCCGTAATAAACAGGAGCACACGGCGGGTGTGACCGGTCTTCAGAGGATGTTCACTCCTCCATTGCACCTGATCCCACCTGTGTGTTTTCTCTGCTTCTATTTTGTATTTTTTAATTGACGACTTTTGAGCTTGAATACCGTTCGTTTTCTCTATACATTTCATTATTTTTTGTATTCATGTTTAATAGATTTTGATAAATATTGCTGTAAACAAAATGATTCATAATGTGTTGATAAAACTTTCGCGTCGTAAACATTTTTTAATTGTGTGAAGGACTACATCTACATCTCTTAGGAATTTGGCAAGAGAATTCAGCCTCTTAATGTACTGCTTGTGTTGTACAAATTGTTCTTGTTGGTTATCTTACTCAATTCCATATTGAAGATAATAAATAAAACTTATTTGATATTGTATAATATAGCCAGAACTAAATATTTATTGTATAAAATTTTCATTTAAATTCCAGATCGTATTGTGTAAATTGGATGACTTTCAGACAATATATATATTCTTTGAAAAGAATAAGCATAATTTGTGTTGATGTTTTATTAGGTTGGAGCATTGTTAATCAACCATTGTTGATATACATGAAAAAAACTACACATGGTTCTTTGTTAAGCTTTAAGATATAACCATTTTAGAAGTATATGATGTATAATTTATTTATTGTAAATAATACTTACACCACATGAGATTTATGTATATCAAATATTTTAAGGAATGCAAAAAAAAAAAAATCATTGAAATCTTTTAATCAAGATTATTAAGATTTTCTTACACTCAAAACTACCGGTACCCGGTTTTCATGATACGGTAAACCACCTATTATTCGCGTCATCTTTATTCGTGATTCGTCAGTTTAAAATCAATTTGAGAAAATTATTCCGCAACCGAGGAACCATTCTCTACAAATCCTTAGCAAAATGAATAGTTCCCACGATTAACTTTCGCGGGATTAAAGGAGGTCGCAGAACTCGCGGATATTTCTGGCTAGCGAATAAAAGTTGGTTTACAGTATTCCATGGGCGTATCATGCTGTGGTAAATTTATGCGAGTAAATTTATTAGCGTATTAAAGTAAAAATAGACTGAACAAAAAAAATTATACAGAAGAGTATATATAAATAATAATCTCTGTCAGGTGAACTAGTACAAATGTCTGACAATTTATTAGTTGGGGGATTTTATTGACAAATGTCCTGTATTCTCAGTTCTGTAGCTGTGTATATTTTGTGACGAAGGGGTACGCACTCGTCTGAAAAATAATTGATATGAGTATATGAGAAGCCTAGAGGTTCCCTATTTCCTGCTGACAGATCTCCAGAATCCGCCATGATATGTCTCTGAATATTAAAGGTATAATCTGTCCCTCTTCATAGTGAATCAGGGTCTGTAGATCATCTAGAGCTGCTTGTGCTCTCATTGTGTTTACATGTCTGTAGCACAAGATCTCTAGCATGTAGAGCAATATAAACGGTGGAATATCTAATGCAGATTCCTTATTCTGTTGAGAAGATTGTTGTTCTGGTATCAATTCACTGATGTAGTGGATTTCATGGTAGAGTCTGTTAGCCATGCTACAGTCTGTCTCATCTTTAGAGACCAGGACTGTCCCCTTACAGCCTCAGGATACATCTCTGGACCTATATTAAAGTTATACATGTACATCGTATATGGCCGTGCTAACATGTCCTCGTTCATCTCTAAAATAGATAAAGCTTCCGTGTATCTAAGTGTCTTGTAATAATACATAGCTATGTACAGCCTGTCAGAAATGAAACCAAACTTGGCTGCTAATTTCAGCATGTGACAGGAGATTCTGTCAGCTCTATACCTCAGTTTGTTTTTATGTGTGTTAGTTTCCATGTATAATATAAAAGCAGTTTTATGAAGGATAGTAGATGTAAGTTTCTGTAACTCAGGGACGGTATACTGCGTAATTAGGGATGAACCTATCATCTGTTCTATTATGTGTAGACACCTCATATACATATGTATGTTGAAAAAGTAAAATGTGTCATAGCATCCTATTTCATAATACATGTTTCTATCAAACTCATGCTCAGAAATCAGAGTATTTTCATCTATACAGATGGAGAGTCTGGGGTTATGGAGGACGTTAATAATATAAGACCTAATGGAGGGACTGTGTAGCAGGAATGCTAAACCCTTCCCATACAACCAATACAGTCTAGTAAATAGTTGATGTTATTTTTCGCCATGAATTTTGCTCAGAAACATGTTGTTGTTTGGAATGAAAAAGTTAGGACAAACCCTCTCATACACCCAGTTGAGAATGAGCTAAAACAGACCCAGAAACACTCCAGGAGATTTTGTGGACACCAATGGGGTATAGTATTTTGTTGAATCACCCAGAAAACTGTTGTCTTTATGTGATAGGAACACAATAATTTATCATCATCACCTAGTCCATTGTTAATTATTTCTATTAAGAACAGTTTAAGTAGGCCTTAAGTTAAGAATTGACAATGATTCATTGCGTTCACTAGTGTTCGTTCCGCCAGAGAGAAAGAAATTCTCCATTCATGGTCTTCATGATTTCCTAGTTTATGTCCGACTGCTACAAAGTGACATCCACTTTTCAGTATATCTTTAACAACATGATGCTGGGGCCACGAGTGACATCTGTCTATCCATGAGGAGGCAGAGGGAGGCCAAAAGTCGCAAACTAAACAGTAGGCATAATCAAATTCTACTGTTAGGACTTTTCTACTGGCACAAGGTCCATGTAGAATGTAGTCTGAACACATGATTTGTCTGTATATAGAACTAGATATATAATACCTGTTATACATTCTAATACAAGCTCGCTGGATTCCTCCGTTCCTGCTTGGTGACAGTAAATATATCAAACTAAATCCTGGTGGACTATCAGAACAGTCACAGAGGATCAGTGTTTTTCTGTGTGTGTTGTAATACCTGGACTGAGATAATTCCCAGATCACACGGTGATTATTTGGCCAGTACATCATGTCTGTATCTGATCCTTCCAGTCTGAATCCTTCTCTTTGACTTCCACTCTCCACCATCTGTCGCCAATCACTTGGTTTTACTAGATTGTCAATCATCTCACTGATGTCCATCACATCTCTCCTCATGGCCAACAGTTGTGAGGTCCCCACTTTACGGCACAGTCCCATAAACACTGACTCTGATATGTATTGTATGGCCGTTTTACTGTTGATGACCAAAGTTTAGCATATTTGAAATAGTGTACCACTTCAGTAAATCATTAGAAGTTATCATTCATAAGTTTGTTTATGTTTTACAAAAACAACTTCAATAAATATTTTACAACCAAGTCTACAGAATTTACCAAGGAAGATGTGCAAAAGCGAATCTGATTGAAAGCACAAATGCGTTTTCGACCTTTTTGCAGCAATGATTAGTGTCATGTACCGTTTGTTCTCAAGAAAAGAGATAACAGACAGCATTCAATATCAAAGTCCATAAATCAAGACAAATTTGGAGCAGAGCAAACACGGACCTCCGAAACATTAGAGGTGGGATCAGGTGCCATGGAGAAATGATGATATCTTGCTGACCGGTCACACCCGCCGTGTGCTCCTTGTCATGATTGGGATATAACGGAAAAACCCGTCGTCAATTAAGTATAAATAACGAACTAACAACTGGTATGTAAAACGTCAGTCAGCATTTGGCTCAGTGATAAATTGTATTTGCAGACAAGATTATTGTATCGACCATAGAACTTACGAAATGATGACTTTAAAAGATATGGCTGATATTCTTGTGTCATCAACTTGCTTGTCAATAATTTACATCGTTGTAGAAATTGTTCATAGGTAGAGCATGCTCTTGCGTATCGACTCAACTGATATAGATACGCAACTAATTATTTAAGGACAGATGATACAATCTTTTTTTCTTTGGAGGAGACTTAATATCAGGTCACAAGATTAGAAAAGTGGATAATTCTTAGAATTCTTTCTCCTAAGAACTGGAAAATGAAATAAATTTGGAAAATATTAGTAATATTTCAATATAATTACTAATATGGACAAAACACACTCAGTACAGGTTTACAGATGAAAACACCTTTCATAATATGTTACCTTGGTGCTAAAAGTGTAATATAAAGTTTAGAAAAATATACCAAATCAGGTGATTTCTATTAGGCTGGCAAAGCAAAATGGTAAAAATCACCCTATGTGATATTGCTAATTTTTTGTCATTTTGTTTCTCCTTGTGACATGATACTAAGTCTCCTCCAATGAAAAAAAAATGTTTGTACAATCTGTCCTTAAGAGGTCGTCCAGCGGGGTGAAGTTGCCAGAGCGTCTACTATAGAATCGCTATGACCCTAACCCTGTCCTAGGGCGTGGACGTGGGTTAAAATTTGCAGCTCTCGACCCTCAAGTGGTTGCGTCATCATATGACAAAATGCACTGATTCAGAATAGTGATAGTGTTGGAATTTTTAGAATTATACATTGTTGTCATGAGAATAATCTAAAAGAGTCCATTTTTAATTTTACGATTTGGGTGTTGTAGTGAGTACTTAAATGAGTCCCTTAAATCATCTTTCATTTTAAATTGTATAACCTCAACTCTCAATTCTATTTTTCAAAGTTCAGAAAAAAAAAATAAAATTTTGTTGTCCGATGTTTAAATATTGATTCAGATAGTGTATATGTTTTCAGAGAAAAATTTTAAAATTAAGACTTACATTTGTGAAGTTCTAGCGGAATCCATTTTTACACGTTAGATCTGAAAATTTTCAGGTGCAGTAATAAGAACAGAAAGCAAATTGAGGGATTTATATTTGCATTGCAGCCGAACTGATAAGACTTGTTTTTGGGTAGCTCTGATCTCACCTGTAATCTATGCTGAATTACTTAGCTCTGATCTCACCTGTTATCTATGCTGAACTACTATGTGTAATTGTGTCACGTTTTACCTAGCCAACATATATGGCTAAGTCTATCAGGTGATTTCAATATTGATTTAATGAAAGACCCCCCCCCCCCTACAATACTGGACATCTGCTTTAGAAGAGTTTGGACTTTCACAGATAGTTACTGTTCCTACTAAAATAACAAGAACCTCAAGTACCTTAATTGATCAATTTTATACAATCAATCCAGAAAACATTTGTAAAACAAGTGTGCTCCCTATTGCTATATCTGACCATTACCCTGTATGTTTGACACGGAAAACTAATACAGCGTAGAGGAAAACTTACTGAAATCCTATATCTAGGTTTGAAACAATTCAAGTTTTTAATTGATTTTTTAAGAGATTTAGAAAATTTAAATTTTAACACTCTTCTTGAACTTAAAGACCCAAACGAGATAATGAATAAATTTTATTAATTATTTAATGATATTCTTAACAAGCAAGCCAAAGTAAAAACTAAAGGAGTCAAGACTAAAATTCGACCTAAATGGCTTACAAGGGAAATACTAGTAAATAAATGATGTTAGACATTTACGTGATACATACTATCTGCAAGAAATTCAGAAAATTACAAATTTTTGAGAAATAAAGTCACACAATTAATAAATCAAGCCAAATCAAAGTATTACAAATCAGCAATTGAAGAAAGCTCAAGTACTAAAGAAATGTGGAGTTATTTAAACCATTTGGAATCTGATTCAAAAAATTTCACACCTACCCGTATTACACAAAATGGTTCGGATTTCGAAGCTTTACAGGATATTGTTGATATTTTTAACAAACACTTTACTGAAATATCCTGTAAATTATTAGCAGATATATCAGTACAAAGTTTTGATTCAGAATTATTGAATCAATGTACAGAAAGTAAACTAGGGAAAGAATATTTTTTCAGTATAAATCAAATAAGTGAGTTTGAAGTATTAAATATGTTTAATACACTTGATGTAAACAAGTCAGCAGGTATAGACTTGACTGGGCCTCGTCTTCTTTAACTTTCGGCAAGTGTTATATGCAAATCTATTACACGTTTTATAAATGCTAGCATCACTAATGGAATATTTTCATTATGTTTAAAACAAGCAGAAGTCACTCCTATTTTCAAAAATGGCGACCACGCAGATCCAGGGAATAACAGACCGATATCCATTCTTCCAACCTTATCAAAATTAGTTGAAAAACACATAGCCAATCAAATACTTATCTTTACCTCTAGCTTTGATCTTTTATATATATATAGGTATACATGTACAATATTTAATTACAGTAATAGCAATTGCTTTAAGTATGACCCATGCTAGATTAAATATGGTTTAATATATTAAAAACCAAAAATAGGATAATTATACTCTGTACATGTTATAAAGTTGCCTGTTTTTATTTTGATTAGGAGTTATTCCTCTTGTATTAGTTTAAACATTAAACTGCTTTACTTTGGGAAGTACCCTGACATTTTAGGAAAGCAAATTATTATTGATTGCTTTTATTCATTGGTATTAATTTGATATTTCTTTTAAACAATTGGTTCCAGGAATCTACGGAAGTTGGTACAAATTTAATCTTTTGGACACAAATCATTTTCATGCATCAACTTGGATTTGATTTGATGTTCATTTAATTATTTTGTTTGTAGAATTTTAGACATTCTAGACTTTTAAAAATTCCTCAAGAAATAAATTCTAGTTACATATGTTCGTTAAAATTATTTCTGCATTTCTTGGAAAAGAATGTAAATGACAAATAAAAAACCAAGTTATTAAAGCATGTTTAGAAATAATTATAGATGATAATGTTAAAATGTACTCGCTGAGGAACTGAGAGCAAACCGAGCATTAATCATTGTAGCAAACTGTTTTCTACCAATGAACCAGAATAGTTTGAACTTTTTGGGGTTCTTTTCCCATCGAGTTGAAGAGTTTTAAATCTTAAAGTAACTGCTTGTTATATTTCAACTTCTAAAAATGGTGTTGTACACTTCGTCTATAACGATTTATAAAAGAAACATCTAGAATATATCTTCAGTATATTTTTATGCGCCCGTATCGATAGATCCCGGGCGTATATTGTTTTTGTCCTGTCTGTTTATCTGTTTGTTGTCAACTTTAACCTTCGCCATAACTTTTGAACCATAAGAGATGGAGACTTCATATTTGTTATGCGTACTCCACTAATAAAGTCTTAAACAACGACAAAGTTAATGACCTTGTGACCTTGACTGTGACCTATATGCTAAAAATAGCTTTTTCCACTGTTTGACATAACTTTTGAACCATAGGAGATAGGGACTTCATATTCGGTATACTTACTCCACTAATGAAGTCCTTTCAAACGACGACAAGGTCAATGATCTTGTGACCTTGACTGTGACCTATATGCTAAAAATATCTTTTTACACTTTTTGCCATAACTTTTGAACCATAGGAGATAGGGACTTCATATTTGGTATACATACTCCAACGATTGAGTTCTTTCAAATGACACCAAGGTCAATGACCTTGTGACCTTGGCTGTGACTAATATGCTAAAAATAGATTTTTGACCTTTGTTGCATAGTGTTTAACAAACACATCTTGTTTTATATATTTTTCTTTGAATAATCCAAAAATTTCATCAGTTAATATCTTTCAAAAACCCTTGGGAATGTGTGCTAATTTTTGTCTATGAACTTTGATATAATCTTGAATTAAGAACATCTTTAAAAATTATCAATAGGTAAAGTACATTGCGTATGCCCTTAAACTGTGAATGTTGACAGTGATGAAAATAAACTTGTTTGATAACCACCATTCTGGTTTCCATTATTAGTCCCCTACAGCTGATATTCTTCCGGTCTTCAGATTTAGACGCTGTTTTTTTAATTTAAATTTAATTAGTTGACTTGGCAAGCATTTTTTTAAAAAGATTAATAAGATTAAGATTTCACATACACCATGTATGGCATTATGGTGTGAGACACAAATAACATTGAATAGCAGACATAGAAAACACAGAATCACAAAAGTTTGCAAGAATCATCGAAATACATAAGGTTTTTTCCCTGTTTTCATAAATTTTAGGAAATGCAACATATTTCTTTGAACATGACTGAAAAGCGACTTATTTGCAAAGCAAAGGAATTAAAATAAATAAAGTTGTTGTCATATTCTTTTTCTTTTCTAGATGAACCACGTGATTTGAGACATTACTGATTAGGCGATGTTTGGGAGACTTAAGTATGTACA